AACAAGACCCCTTTCTCAAAAGTCTATCAAACAAATGAGTTAGGCAGAGTGTTGCAGATGTGTAAATCCCTGCATTGGGGAATCTGGTGAGAATGAGGCAGGAGGATCTCTGAGTTTAAGGCCACCCTGGTCTATATCAGAAGTTCCAGGCAAGTCAGGGCTACATAGTGATACCCTGTCTCAAGGAGGGGCAGAGTTTTTGCAACTCGAACCCTGTCTCATAAAGGAAATGGGGATGGGAGTGAAATGGCTAGGCTGTCAGCTGAATGGCACATTTCTTGCCTAACATGGGTGAAGCCCTAGGTTCAATCCCCAGCATTACAAAGATAAATGAAAACATTTTCATTTCAGCAGCATACTTCAGTGAACATCTCATTCTGTAGAGAAAGGCTGTACTATACATGCAATAAATGGGAATTAGTAGAAGTTGCTGGTAAGTGTGCAAACGTGTCAGGGAAATAAAGGCTGTGGTGCTACTCCACCAGTCTAGGAGGTGAATAACTCATCTCTCTTTGGAGACATGAGCACTAGCTGAGAAAATATATGTGAACTGCTTTCATTGTAGGAGAGGCTGACCAGAGAGGTCAGCCCTTTTCTGTCCGAGTTTGTGGTCTCATTAATAAAAAAATAAATTAAAAAATTAAAAAATTATGGCCGGGTGGTGGTGGTGCACGCCTTTAATCAGAGCACTCAGGAGGCAGGTGGATCTCTGTGAGTTTGAGACCAGCCTGGTCTACAAGAGCTAGTTCCAGGACAGCCTCCAAAGCCACAGAGAAACCCTGTCTCAAAAAGAAAAAAAAAAGTGAGAACTGGGACTGATTGGTTTAGCACTTTTTATGGGTCAGATGTTAGAGCCTCTAGTGCTGTGGTTCTCAATCTGTGGATCATAACCCTCTGGGGAATCTAATGATCCTTTCATAGGGTCATTTCACAGGCCACCTAAGACCATCAGAAAATATGGATGTTTACATTATAATTCATAACAGTAGCAGTATTACAGTTATGAAGTAGCAAAAACAAATTTAAGTGGGGGGGCGGTGTTTCCAGACAGGGTTTCTCTGTCAACCTTGGCTGTCCTGGAACTTGCTTTGTAGACAGGCTGTCCTCAAACTCACAGAGATCCGCCTGCCTCTGCCTCCCGAGTGCTGGGATTAAAGGGTAAAAATACTTTTTATATTTGGGGTCATCACAACATGAGAAAATATATTAGAAGGTGACAGCATTAGGAAGGTTGAGAACCACTGCTCTAGTGGAAGAATCTTCTCTCCCCTTGACATAAAATCAAACACTGTTGCATCAGTCAAGACTATGAGCAACTGCTGTTTAAGTCAGGAGTTAGGGACCCCTATCCACACTTTAGTGGCACAGACAGAGGCATGTTTCCAAAGGGATCAAAACCAGGATTCTTAGCTGATCCTGGTGGGGTGTGTGTTTAATCCCAGCACTTGGAGTCAGAAACAAGCCAATCTCTCTCAGAGTTCAGGGCCAGCCTGGTTTATGTTGCAAGTTTCAGGCCAGCCAAAACTAAATATGGAGACCTTGTCTCATCAACAAAAACAAACAAATGAAACAAAACACTAGAACTCTTGTACTGGAAGCCTCCAAACCTCAGCCAGGTGCTAGGTGCCATAAATCCCATCCCCACAACTAGGAGAGAGCCCTGCCCAACATTCCAGTGTGACACTTTATTACAACAGTACCACAGAGCTGAACACACCTCCCAGACCCTGAGGAAGAGTCCTGCACCCAGATGGGATCACAAACAGAGTGAAGCAACATAAAAGGGGAGGAGAAAAGGATAATCTCAAATGGAATCCTGGAGATCCTAAGAAAACTGTGATGGGCGGGCGCTTCTGAGAACTGGCTGTGTTCCCTTTCTGTTGCATAGTGTTTATGAGTATATCTGTTAAATTGTGTATTTCTGTCTCATGTGTGCTTCTCTGTGTATATCATATTTCATGGTTGCAGAAATTCTAATTGGCAGGTGGGTGGGAAAAGAGGTTGACAGAGGTCAGCTTTGCCCATTTGTGAGTGCCTGGGTAATGTCTGGGAAGGTGTCCCAAAGGCAGCCAGGGGAAATCGGAAGCTCAGATGTGGCCTAAAGAACTCCCAACACAGGGTAGAAGGGGCAGCTGAAGAGCAGCGCAGCACAGCTGCTGGTACAGGAGGTGTCTGCCCACAGGCGCCTGGCTGTGCCTCCAGCTGTCCTCCCAAATTCCCACCCTCACAGGTGCTGCTGGGGGTCAGGAACCCTTTGATACACACTGCCATTTTAGGTAATGTGTGTCTTGGGCATCAGTCTTGCACTTTCAGCTCTCCAGCTATCTCTTTGCACTTGATTCCTGCTATAACCCCTGTAGTTGCTCTTCTGTTTAGATATCCGGTCATGTCCCCTTCAGCCCAAGGTGCTCAGCACCCAGACTAGTGCTCTAGCAGAGTTTCTTTGAACTCCCAAATCTGTGTTCTTAGACTACCTGGGTGGAGCTGGGTGTAGAAGTGACGATTGTGCGGGTCTTGAGCAGACACCAAGTTGGCCCAAGGACTCAGGCTGGCTGGTATTTTCCATAGGCCTCTGCCAGCTCTCAGGCAGCCTGGCACTGGCCAAGCAGGCTGTCAGAGTGTACCTCCTGTGTAGACCCTTGGAGTCTCTCCTCCTACCTCCCTGGCGCCCTGCAAATGAGTCCTGTGTGCTGTATGTCTGTCTCTGCTCAGGGGGCCCTCAGCCGTCCCAGTTCTGAAGCTTGCTGATATCACTGGGCCTGGGCCTGCTCAGGGGCATGGGGAATACTAGGAACAGGGGAGAAGAGTCAGAACCTGTGGACTGCTTGGGATCAGACTCCAACCCAACTAAGCAGTTGTACCATTTAGGCCATGTGCCTTTTCCTCTCTGCCTGTTTCCCTACCTACAAAACAAGAATTTTCAATAGCCCCGGCCCAAGGGGCTCCTACTGTCATCACTTTGAAGGATAGTACCCACATTCAGAAAGGCCAGATGAGTGCCCAAGGTCCAAGGTCAACTCATCGTCCTGCCTATGATCCACTCAGCTGGCCTCTGTGAAGGTCAGAGAACCAGTGCTCATGGACTTGGGGCAAAGCAGACAGCATTCTCTCTGTCCAGTTGTCTGGATTCTTAGGGAGTGGTTGGGGCCAGACCACCTCTGCATCCTTCCCAGTGACTACTGGAAGATCCAGTCCATTCAAGCAGAATGGAAGTGGGCATGCTGGGTGCTGCTGTACTGAGGTGCTGGGCTGAGGGACCCTCAATTGGCTGAGGAGCTTTGCATTAAAGGTGGGTCTTTTGGGGAAGGTCAAGAGATACCACAAGACTGGTATGATATGCACCCTATAGGTAGGAGCTCTGGGTGGGAAGAGATTATCAATGGGGTGTAGCCCTGAGTGTAGGGGAGCCAGAGGGGAGTGACTGTAGAGCTGGCTTGGTGCTGGGTCTGGCCCGTGAGTGAAGGGTTCTGGGTACTAGTCTGCAGTCTGCTGGCTACTAAACTGGGCTTCGAAGTGTGGTGGGCTCCAAGGTCTCATGTCAAGAAGCCCCCATTGTCTCTTCCTTGCTCCAGACCTCCACCCTGTCTGGAAGCCAGACTTGGCAAAGTGGCCTCCTCAGTCAGCAGCTCCAGGAGGGCCTGGCTAGGTTTGAGAAGAACCAACAGACAGACAGGATATGGGGCTTTCAGGACTTGAGTCCAAGAACTAGGGGCTGAGTCAATGCCATCCTCAACCAGCTCAGTGGGGTCCGCAGATTCACTGGCCAGACTCCACCCTAGCTTATCCCAGGCTCCACTCTCCCAAATACCCCCTACCAGGCCCCCTGCACCAAGCCCAGCTCCAGGTTGAGTTGCCCAGACCTTAGAAATGAAAGGTGCTCCAAGTCCTCAAGCACCCCCACACAGCCTACCCCACCCATCCTAAGCAAAGAAGAAACAAGACAGCAGAAAGCAGAGTAATCTGTCCCTGTGTGCCACTGTTCCACACAGAATGAGGAGGAGCATAGGATGTGGATTGGAGGCTGGAGTGCCCCAGTAGCAAGTCAGTCCTCAGTTGGGGGGGGGAGGTCTGTTTCTAGTGATCCCCAGCAGGATCAGAGGGGACAATAGCTCCTCTCTTGAGGATACAAACTGTGAGTTGTTGCAGCTTCTAATACACTGTTGCATTCCCATTTGCCTTTCTAGTAACACAGTTAAAACTTTCCTAGAGCTCTGTGTCAGCCATGCACAGATCTCTGGCCCTGCTCCCACCTTTTCCACAGCTGTGTTTGGGCTGGGCCTGCTGTGCCAGGCTGATCCTCCCCAGCTGCTGGGGGAACATCTGAACCCTTCCAGTCTGGTGCCAGGACCAGCCACTGACAGGGGTGGAAGAGTCCCAGGGAGGCCTATTCTAGCTGTCAGCACCGATGATGGATGAGGGGGTACATTATAGGGAGGCCCAGAGGACCAGGCGCCTGTTTTGCTCCAGGGAGAGCCCCTGCACTGACCTCCTGGGGTTTGCAAGCAGAGCCTCTGCCCCTTACAGCTGGGGGCCTGAGTGAAGGAACCTCCGAGTAAAGCTGTTTAAAAGCCCAAAGGATACTGCACCCTCCCACTCCCCAGACATCATGGGTATCTGGGTCTTTCCCATTGCCCTCTTGCTGCTGTGCCTGACTTCTGAAAGCCTGCAAGGCGGTGAGGGTGGGCTTCTGGGGAGGGTCCAGGCAGCTGTGACCGGGACTGAGATTTGACTAGGACATGGGTTCCCGGGGAGTGGAGATGGAGTGTAGTTGGTAGAGTGTTTGCAGAGGAACCAGAAGTGCAAGGTCATTCTTGGCTTCATGGCTATATGGTTACATAGAAAGTTTGGGGCTAGTATGGGGTACATAAGCCCACATAAAAAAAAAAAAAAAAAAAAGCTTGATTTCTGGAGTGATCAGGAGGTGTGGGCATTGGGACTAGGGGAGCCTAGGAAGGCAGGAAATTCAAATGAGGAGGGTTTTAAGGGCATTGGAGGTAGATCTGGGTCTTGCCTTTCTGATATCCCAGCCCTGAATAGTACCCTTTGCTTCCTTAGGACTGCCTGGACCCCCTCCCAACCTGGGGAAAGGTAAGTGGCCCTCTGGATACTTTTTGATCCCAGGGACCTTTGGAGCTTGCTAGGGACTCCCCTAGATGTTCCCCAGCTCTGGGACTCCAGATATGAAAGCCAGGAGAACATGGAGTCTCCTCCCAACTGGCAACATTGGCAATGCTGCTTGAGGGCGGGAAGCTCAGACACTCATCTTCTTGGAAGAGTTGGGAGCTTTGTCCCTGAGAACACGTGGTGGGGGGGGCTGGAAGAGGGGTCTGGAGCTGTCTAGAATGGAAAGCAAGCTGTGACAGAGGGAGGAAGGAAATTCTGGTGGCAAAAAAGGCAGAGTGCTAAAGTGGACTGCAGCAGGGGGCAAGTGAGCTGGAAGGCAGGGGTGGGGGTGAGAGGTGACTTCAAGGCTTTGGGAATAGGCCTGAGTGTCATGAAGGGGCCGATGGGGTCCTAAGGGTAGGAGGAGTGATCGCTGAGACTAGATGAAGAGAAGAGTTAGGAGGGGAAAGGAAGGGAATTTCCAGAAAGGGAAGGGTCCAAAGGTGAGGATCTTTGGATGGGAGGAGAGGGCTATACATAGGTGAGAAGGAGAGCAAAGTGAGCTCTGGCCCTCAAATATTCAGGGGTAGAGCTTGGACACCTCCGTCCATGCCAGGAACTCAGCTTCAGTTTCCTAATCCCAAACTGTTCCCTTGGTTCTGTCCTTATGCCTCCTTATGTGACCAGAGGAGAAACTGAGGTTCAGAAACAGATGTGACATCCACATTTAGCCATCCAGGCTACTTTCTAAATTCTACCCAACTCAACAGGCTTTGGCAGTCCAAATAGCTACATATGAGGCTAAATTGTAAGAGGTGCAGGCAGGGTGGCCCAGAGACGCTGCTACCCTTCTGCCCATTCCTAGAGTAAACTTCTCATTTCTCCTCCAGGCTACAGCCCCTCCAATGGACCAGGAACAGGTGAGTCGAAGTGAGAGCTTGAGGGCAGGGCAGGACACTCTAGTCTCTCTCCCCCAAAAGGAGGGCCAGACAGCAGCAGGGAAAGTGGATACAGGTAAACAGATAACTCAGAAGCAGGGGGTATGATGGCTCACACCAGTAAACCCCAAACTCAGAGCCTGAGGCAGGAAGATCACTGAGAGTTTAGGGAAGGATGGTTAATGCTATGCACATTCTTCCTTATATTGATCTGAACATAGCCCCAGAAGGTGGGAAGACCCAGTGATGACAATGACAATGGGAGCAATGGGTAGTTCTGGGAGACCATCAGCCTGGTGCCCCTTCGCACTCACCTGCTTTCTTTCTCTCCAGCCTTTGGAGGAGATGTTAAACCTCAAAAGCCAGGTGAGCCCTACCAACCTAGCTCTGTCTGTCTCTCTTGCACCTCTGGCCTCCATCTGTCTAACTGGGACTTAGAAACCCCCAGCCAGGTGAGCATGGTGAGGTGGGAGGATGTCAACATTTAGGGCAACTGTTGCCTCTGAGACAAGAACTGGTGAATGATGGGGACTGAGGAGACATTTAGAAGTGTTAGTGTCTATCTTGGTCTCAGAGAAGAATTTCAAGGCTCCCCTACTTCAGCTGGGACCCAACACTTCCTCAACTCAGTTCTTTCTCACCTCACAGGCTTTCCAGCTCCAAATGGCTATGGACCAGGTAAAAGTGGAGCTGCCATGCGGGGAGGCTTGGGAACACTAGGTTAGTTCCCCTGGCCCTAAGGAAACAGAACTAGTGGCTTAGGAAAGGCGGCCAGGAGAGACTATGACAACCTCTGGTGTCAGGTGTGGGGAGGAGAGAACAGGAAACCCTGTTTCACCACTAGTTTAGCTCAGCCTGAGTCACCACCTTAGGCCTCTCAGTTCAGAATGGATATGGAACAGAGAATCCAGGAGGAAGGCTTGGTCCCTGGGCCCCATCATCTGCCTCATCTCTTTCCTTAGGCTTTGGAGGGGTAGTGATGCCCCAGAAATCAGGTGAGAACCCTCTCCATGCTGTTCCTCTCTGCCTGATGTCCCCAGCCCTTCTTTATTCTTCTTTCTGGTTCTTTCACCCCAGGATATGGACCTGGGCTAGGAGCTAGAGTCTTTGCAGGGGTGGCAGCTCAGCCAGGTAAGGACCCCTGGGACCAAAAGGAGAGAGGCTGGTTCTGGATGAAGGGCAGGGGTCAGCTCCCTATGTCCCCCAAACATGTCCACCCATGGCCTACCACTCTCTCCTCCATATTTAATGGCAGAAATGGCTTGGGCATCAGTGGGTCCCCTGAAGCAGGAAGGTCTGTCGGGTGAGAGTAACTGAGGCAGGGTGGTAAAGTAACTGTGGGGGTGGTGAAGAGGACTCAGGGCACAGTTTTAATCAGAGGACAGTGGATATCAACCTTGTTATGTCTGTCTCTGGCCTAGGAGGGAGCATGAAGCCAGGTGAGGAGAAGGCCTGCTTTTCTTTTCTTTCTTCCTTCCTTTTTTCTAAAGATTTATTTATTTATTATGTATACAGTATTCTGGCTACATGTATGCCTGCTGATCAGAAGAGGGCACCAGATCTTATTATTACAGATGGTTGTGAGCCACCATGTGGGCTCTGGGAATTGAACTCAGGACCCCTGAAAGAGAAGCCAGAGCTTTTAACCTCTGAGCCATCTCTCCAGCCCCCTTCCTTCCTTCCTTCCTTCCTTCCTTTCTTTTTTTCTTTCTTTCTTTTCTCCCTCTGATGCTGCATCCCCGGCTTAGCTCTGTCATCTCTAGGTTCCACCTCTCCCTATCCTATCCCTATCTCTGTCACTGCATCACCTTCCAAGAGCCGGTCCCTTCAGTGGCCTGCCAGACCTGTTGCTTGAGAAGTAGTCTCTGTCTAGGGACAGTCTTCTAGGCTGATCTTTGGGCATGCTCCCTAAGAGAACTGCCGGGGGCCTGGGAAACAAATGTCTGGGGTAGGGATACCATAGGAGTAGAACAGGACCACCTCAGTCTAGCCTCAAACTGGTCTGGCTGCAGACTCTCACTCTCTGCCCACAGCCCCTGCACCTCAAAATGGCCATGGACCAGGTAAAGGAAGAGATGGGAGGAGTTTGGGGGTATGTGCTGGGGTTGGGGCTTTGGGGTATATTCTGGGGTTGGGGTTCTGGGAGCTCTTGGTTTCTCACTGAGTCCTTATTTCTTCCTCAGGCATCAGAGGGGGCATGAAACCTCCAAAGCCAGGTGAGCTCTGCCCTGTCTCAGTGTCCCCGTGCAGCCTACTCACCCTACATAGCCTGGCCTCCCCTTACTCTTTTCTGCTGTCTCCCAGGGTTTGGCAATGGGAATGGAATCGGAGCTGGGGCCTTCCCAGGAGTTGGAGCCCACCCAGGTGAGGGCTCCTGGGCCAAACTGGGTATCTATAGATGAGGGTAAGGGAGAATCTAGGGGAGGTTATGGTCTGGGAGAGCAAAAGCTGATTTCTGGAGTCTAGTGTGGTACACGCCTTTAATTCCAGTGCTCAGGAGGCAGAGGCAGGCAAATGTCTGTGAGTTCTGGGCCAGCTAAGGCTACATTAAAAAAAGAAGGAGGAATCCAGCCTTGTAGCACAGACCTGTAATCTCAGAGACTTGGGACAGAATGACTGGAAGTTTAAGGACTGCCTGGGCTCATGAGAGAATTTAAGGCCAGGCTGGGAATCTTAGGGACAGCAGCCTGTCTCAGACATAAAAAGTAGAGGCTGGTGATGTATCTCAGCTAGAACAGTGCTTGTCCAGCACAGGTCAAGGTCTGGATTTGATCCCCAGAACCCCATAAACGGGGTTTGGCGATATGTACCTGTAATCCCAGCATTGGAGAGGCAGAGGTAGGAAGACTAGGAGTTCAAGGCCATCTTCAGTTTCATAGGCAGCTCAAGGCCATTTTGGCCTAAATGAGACCCTGTCTCAAAAACTAAATAGAGTGGGCATGATGATGCATCTCTTTATTTGCAGCACTCAGGCAGCAGAGGCTAGTGTATGTATGTAGAGAGAGCTGCAGGCCAGGTAGGGCTGCATAGTCAGACTTTCTCAATAAATAAATAGATAAAAATAAATAGTGGGGCCATGCAGTGGTGGCACACACCTTAATCCCAGTACTCGGGAGGCAGAAGTTCTGGTCTATAGATGGAATTCCAGGGCAGTCAGTGCTACACAGGGAGACCCTGCTCCCCACCCCCCCAAAAAAAATTAGTGGGATGAGGATGGGAAGGGAATAAGAGAAGGTAATGGTGTGTGTGTGTTTGTACATATGTATGTGTGTATATGTGAAAATAACCAAAATCCATTAAATACATTAATGAAATTGTCAAGGAATTTTAAAATAAATAAAATTGCCAGGCGGTGGTAGCGCACGCCTTTAGTCCCAGCACTCTCGAGGCAGAGGCAGGCGGATCTCTGTGAGTTCAAGGCCAGCCTGGTCTCCAGAGCGAGTACCAGGATAGGCTCCAAAGTTACACAGAGAAACCCTGTCTCGAAAAACAAAAATAAATAAATAAATAAAATTAAAGACAAAAGTAAAAGACCATCTGTATATAGTTCAGTGATAGGGCATTTCCCCAGTGTGCACAGGGCCTCAAATTTAATCTCTTGTACTGAAAAAAAGAAATGAGAAAGTTGATTTCTGAGACAGTCAGAGTGGTGTGAGGTCTGCACGTGGCTTAGTTTGCTGGGGTCTTCCCCCAGGCTTGGGAGCCGGTATGAAGACTCAGAAGCCAGGTGAGCATGCACCCATTCTTTCCACTGTCCCCTCCCACCTGTGACCTTCTTTTACTCCCAAGCCCCCCTCAAACTCTCCACTCAATACCCAATTTTCCCTTTAGGATTCGGCAATGGAAAGAGCCTGGGGGCTCAGCAAAGTAAGTACATTGATGGGGAGGCAAGTCCAGGGCTCCTACCTGGGGACCCTAAGCCTGGGTTTTTAGGAGGTTACTCCTTTAGCCAATCTCTCAAGTACATCCCTGAGCCAGACTACACAAAGAAGTCCTGCCTTGAAATAACAACAACCAAACAACAACAGAACAAAAACAGGGCACGGTGGCACAAATAATCCTAGCATTTGGGAGGTAGAAACCCTCTATCAAGGTCACCCTAGGCTAATAGTGATTAGGGGTCAGCCAGCGTTTACAAGTGACACTTTCTCTCAGGACATTAGTGGCACACGCCTTTAAGGCTAGCACTCAGGAGGCAGGGACATGTCTGTGAGTTCAAGAGTTACTCTATGAGTTACTCTCTATGAGTTACTCTACATAGAGAGTTCAGACCAGTTAGGTGCATGTAGTGACACCCTGTCTCAAAACAAACAAACAAGAAGTAAAGTTCCAATTGGGAAGGAATTTAAAGAATGAGGAACAGGTCCATGGACAAGGCAGATGGAGCCAGGAGCTGGCCAGCTCCAGCCTCACTCCCATTTAAGAGCATCGGCAGCTCCTATGTCAATTCCCTTTACCCCCAGTCAAGTCCTGCAGTTCAGAATGACTTTGGAGTAGGTAAAAAAGGGGACAGGGACAGATGCAGGTGTCCTGGGATGAGTTTCTGGAAGGAAGCTAGCCCAGAAATGAGAGCACCTCACCTACACATCTCTTCCAGGCTTTGGAGGAGTTGGAAAACCCCAGAAACCAGGTGAGGCTCTTGCCATGACCATCCTTGTGTTTATACACCTGCATTTCTCCAGACTCCCAATCTCATTGTTTTTTCACTCTTTCCCCAGGAATTAGGGATGGTAATGGGCTGGGAGCTGGGGCCTTCCCAGAAACTGGAGTCCAGCCAGGTGAAGCACTGTGATTTTTCAAGCACCCCTGGTGGGAGTGCTAATGTAGAGGCCTAAATATCTCTCTTCTTCCCTAGGCATTGGAGAAGGACAAAGACCCCAGAAGCCAGGTGAGACCCACTTGCTTGCTTTCCAATTTAGCCTCACACAGCAAACACTCATTCAACAAACCACATCCATTCTGGGCTAGCCAGGTGTGGAAGCATGTTGGGAAAACAGATAGGACAACAGCATGATACTGAGGCTGTCACAAGAGCCACCCTAAGCATTCCCCAGAAGTTGGGGAATTGGCTGTGGTCCACGAAAAGCTGGTGGAGAAGTCGGGCGTTGGTGGCGCACACCTTTAATCCCAGCACTCAGGAGGCAGAGGCAGGCGGATCTCTGTGAGTTCGAGGCCAGCCTGGTCTCCAGAGTGAGTGCCAGGATAGGCTCCAAAGCTACACAGAGAAACCCTGTCTCGAAAAAAATAAAAAATAAAAAACAAAAACAAAAACAAAAAAACTAGTGGAGGCTTGAGGAACATGGAAGAGACACCCACAGAAAGAGGTTGTGGGCTCTAGAAATGGCTGAGTGGCCAAGAAGGCAGGAGATAGAGTGGATGAAGGAGGAGGATGCTTTTCTGACTGGTTGTGATACCCAAGGGAAGACTCAGGCAACTGGATATGGCTTCACTTTGGAGAGGCAAGAAGGAGGTTAAAGGCTCATAGCAGAAGACAGAACCATCATCTTCTAGAACATGAGCAGAGGAAAGAAACACAGGAAAGAGACCGAGGAACAGCAGAGGACAGACGAGGGGCAGAAAGTGAGGGATTGCCAAAGTCAGACCTGGGAGACAGAAACTCTGGCGGGATTTCCATAAGCACTCTAGGTCTGAATACTCAGAGGCTACTAAGGACATAGTGAGAAGATGCTAGGACTCGAAGCTCAGGGTTTGGCAAAGAAAACAAGAATGGCATAAGGAGAGCACATATGACTCCCCTAAAACCCATGTACATCTATCGGTGTGTGGATGGAGATGGAGCTCAGACCTTGGGCAGAATTCCAGAAAGACTCCTGATATGTCATCTCCTTCTTTCCCCCTACTAGGTCCTGCATCTCAGAATGGCTATGGACCAGGCAGGAGCAGGACTGGGCTCCTTGGGAGGCCCCAAATGGGAATCCCAGGTCCTTCACCTTGATCTTTGTCTCTCCTCTAGACTATGGAGGTGTGAAGTCCCAGAAGCCAGGTGAGCCCTTTCCTGACCTGTTCCTCTGCCTGTCTCTCCCCGGGCCCTGAGCTCCCCTTCATCCACACTTTTCTCTGTCCCCAGGATTCGGGAATGGGAATGGACTTGGCCTGGGAGCCCAGTCAGGTGATGCTGGTGGGCTGTGTATCTGCAGGAGGGTCATCTACACGCCTACAGCCCACCTTCCCCTCTCAGGCTTTAGAGGACAGTCGATGAGGAGGAGGGCTGGAAAGTCCCCAGGGACCCTGTTTTTTCACATGGTATGAAGTGGGGACTGACTGTGGGACTTTTACCCCTTGCTCATCCCTCCCTTCCCCACAGGTCCCCCAGCTCAGAATGGCCATGGACCAGGTAAAGGAAGAGATGGGAGGAGTTGGGGGTATGCCCTGGGGTTGGGGCTTTGGGGTATGTGCTGGGGTTGGGGTTCTGGGAACTCTTGGTTTCTCACTGAGTCCTTATTTCTTCCTCAGGCATCAGAGGGGGCATGAAACCTCCAAAGCCAGGTGAGCTCTGCCCTGTCCCAGTGTCCCTGTGCAGCCTCCTCACCCTACATAGCCTGGCCTCCCCTTACTCTTTTCTGCTGTCTCCCAGGGTTTGGCAATGGGAATGGAATAGGAACTGCAGCCCAGCCAGGTGAGAGCACCAGGGAACTGGGAGAGATTACAGCCAGGGTACTAGGGTTATAAAAGAGGCATCCTGGGGCCCCACCCACTCCCCATTTCTCTCTCATGCTTTGGATCGCATGCAACACCCCAGAAGGCAGGTGGGACTCACTCCTGCCAACGATTCTGTCTCCCTCCAATGACAGTGCTCCCTCTGGAATCATCTCCACCTTCACTTGTCCCTGCAGGGTTTGGGAATGGATTGGGGGGTCTAGCCAAGTGAGATAAGGGCCACACCTGGGGTGTCCCTCTGTGCTCCCCTCTCAGGCCTCAGAGGGGCAGAGTTGGTACAAAATTGAGGAGGTGCTGAGAGCAGGCCTCCAGGATTCTAGGTTTCTAGTTTTGTACAAGAGAAAAAGCCTTCACCTCCACCAAGCCCCATATCCTACTGAACCCCATATCCTATTTTCCCCTTCACACAGGCCTGGCAGCCCAGAATGGATTTGGAGCAGGTAGGGGTCGTGTGTGTATGGGGCAGGGGGTGAACAAGCAGTGTTCACCAGCTGTGCATGTCTCCTACAGGCTTTGGAGGGGGCAGGAAAGCCCAGAAACCAGGTGAGTCTTTTCTACTTTGAGTCTGTCCCTGCTTTAGCTTGAGTTTCTATTGCTGTGATAAAACACCATGGCCAAAGCAACTTGGGGAGGAAAGGTTTCACTTAGGCTTAAATGTCCTGGTCACAGTCCATGGTGAAGGGAAGCCAGGACAAGAACTGATACAGAAGCCATGAGGAGTACTGCTTACTGGCTTGCTTCTCATGGCTTGCTCAACCCGCTTTCTTATAGCACCCAGGACCAGCAGCACTGCCCATAGTGAGCTGGGCCCTCCCACATTAACCATCCATCAAGAAAATCCCCCACAGGCCAATCTGATGGAGGCATTTTCTCAATTCAGAGTCCCTCTTCCCAGAAACTCTAGGCTTCTGTCAAGTTGACAAAACCAACCAGCACAGGGTCCCTGACCATGCATGCACTCCTGGATCCATAAATACCCCCACCACGTCTCCCTCCCTCTCTCTTTATGGAAGTGGGCTGGGAGCTGGGGCCTTTCCTGCGACAGGATCCCAGCCAGGTGAAGACCTTAAGGCAAAGACAGGCCTCTTAGAGGGCTGGAGCCACAAAGATTGAGCCTGAGAGAATGGTGGACAGATCGGTGGTCTAGCCTGAGGCTTGGATTCTGTGTTTCCTCCTTCACAGACCTGGGAAGGGTATGAAGTTTCTTAGCTGGAGACTTAGGAGTCTAGAAGAAGGGATAGCCCCCCCTCATTCCCCTGCTTCCTCTTGAGATCCCCATCTTACCCCCACCCCCTTTTCTCCTCAGGATATGGGAATGGAAACGGACTGGATGTCCTGCCAGGTGTGGTCTTCTGGGCATGGGTCTTGCAGTGATGTTGGGAAACCAGGCAGATGGGGAGAAGGGCTAGCGACAGGAGTCAGGAGGACAGAGGGCTGACAGGATTCCTGACACAACCCCTCTCTGTCTCCTGCCAATTGTAGGAGTTGGCGGGAAGCCTCAGAAGCCAGGTGAGGATAGCGCCCCCTTCTCTGTCTGTCTGTCTGTCTCTGTCTCTCTGTCTGTCTGTCTCTGTCTCTCTGTCTTTCTCTGTCTCTCTCTGTCTGTCTCTGTCTCTCTGTGTCTCTCTGTGTCTCTCTCTGTCTCTCTGTGTGTCTCTGTCTGTCTGTCTCTGTCTCTCTCTGTGTATGTCTCTCTCTGTCTCTGTCTCTGTCTCTCTCTCTCTCTTTCCTTACCATCCTTAGTCCTTAAGCTCATGGTGGGAAAGGGGTTTCCTGTACCTGTCTCCAAGGAGAGCCCAGGCTTAGTTCCTATTAAGGAAGTCTGTAAATCAGTAGGAACACTGGAGATGGTGAGGCAGGGAGGGAGGTGAGGGACACCAGGAGACCACCCTCATCCTGGTCCCTTCTTCCATGGCCCACTACAGCATCTTCTTTATCTTCCCACAGGCCCTGCCACTCAAAATGGCTATGGACAAGGTAGGAGCAGGGCTAGGCTTATGAGGCCCAGAGGCAGGGAACCTAGCATCTCTCACTTGTACCCTGTTTCTCTTTCAGACTATGGAACAGACATGAAGCCCCAGAAGCAAGGTGTGCCCAGCTCTAGCCTGTCTTTCCACCGCCTGTCCCCACAAGCCCTGAACTTTGTTCCCTCTTTAATGGCCCCCTCCATCTGTATACCCAGGATTTCGGAATGGGCATGGGCTTGGAATCCAGCTGGGTAAGGATCCAGTTTGTGTTTGCCTGTTCTGCCACTGTCCCCTATCATGTTTGCAGAGGTCGAAAGGAGCCTGTAGTTTCTGGCCTGACTCTAAAGGGGAGGCCAAGTCCCTTCCACCCTAACTTTGGTTCCATTCACTTCCCCCTCATCCTCCTCCCAGTTCAGAATGGCAACAGGCAGATACTAGGGGCTTGGGGAGCAGGGGGACTGGGAAAGTAGAGCAAAGGAAGCAAATGGAAACTCACTCTCGAACCCATCTGAAGGGGCCCCCTGGCTCTGCAAAACCTGATAGGGCTCTTCTGTCTTCCATCTCTCTCTGCCCACTCGACCCTGCAGTCCCCATTAACTCTGGACCAGGAAGGGGAGGAGGGGTAGGTGCTGTAGGTCAGATGCTAGATAGAGATCAGAGGAAAGGTCTTTGGAGGAGGGGTAACCCCTTTTTGTCTCCATAGGGTACAGAAATGGACTGGGAGCTAGAGCCTTCCAAGGCCAAGGCCAAGAGTCAGGTAAGGAGCACAGAAGGGGAACAAGGCACCTCAGGCACAGATGGTCCTGGGAAGGGCCAGGGGCAAGGTGGGGTCCCCATGCCCTGTTCATGTCACCTCAGATCTGGGAGGGGCTGGGAAACTTCTGAAGCCAGGTGAGGCCCTTTTTGTCCCTCTTCCTGCCTCCCTTGATATTTATATACCCAATGTTAGCCCAGTCCTCATAGCCTGCTTTCCTCCCAGGGTACATGCCAGAGAACAGGCTGGGGATTCCCCCAGGTGGGTGGGGGCGCACAGAAGTTTCATTCCCTGGAAAGGTTGTGTATATGTGATCAGTTCTCTATCTCCACCATGCCTGGGAGGGGGAATGAAACCTCCAAGTACAGGCAAGTGAAAGAGACCCATTCACCTCTGCCTTCTGTGGCCCCTGCCTCTCCTGCAAAGCCACCCTATCCTGCCCCTTGTTTACTTCTTTTCTTCGTCAGGATACAATGGAAATGGAATGGCAACCCAGTCAGGTTAGGAGAGGAGTCAGAGGGCATGGCTGGGAGGAGGAGGGGTTGGGTGTGTTGACAGCAAGAGCCCTTTGCCTGTCTGAGCCATCCCCCTGAACAGTATGGCCCACAGAACTTGGCTGTCTCACATGGTAGAGGTCACATGGCAGAGGTCCTGGAAGCCACTGCAAACTGTGGCTTGTCCTGGCTCAGGTGTTCTGAGTGACACAGGGTTAGCCACTGCCTGGAGCCCACTCCTCACACTTTACCTCCCTCCCTAATCTAGGTCCCTGCAGTGGTGGGATTGCTCCACCACAGCTCCTTCCCAGGTCTCCCACTCCAGGAGTCCCTTCAGATAAAGGAGGTAGCTGGGGCCTGAAATCCCAGCTCCTGCCCCCAGTGCAAAATGGTAAATCCCCAGGTCAGTGTGGACTCTGGGGGTAGTGGGGTGCCAGGAGGTATGTGGCTCTGAGAGGGGCTGGCCCTGGCTGCATTTTCTGATGTCATATCGTCTGAAGCTCAGAGAGACCCTGTGAGGGCTAATTTCTGTGTCCCTCATTCTAGCACCAACCCCGGCCATCCAGTGGGGACTGAAGCCTCAGAAAGCAGGTGGGGGTCTGTCTGTCTCCAAGTCCTGAATCTCAGAGGGACAAGCCCTCAACTTCTCTATTCCTTTCTCTCTCTCTCTCTTGGGTATCAAGTCCTTTATCACCCTTGTTCCCAAGCTCCTCAGGTACCCTAAGGCCTGGAAGACCCTCCCACAGTCTACCCTCAAATCTCTTGTTGCTTTCTAAGATCTTCCTTTGGTTCTATTTCTTGTAAAGAGTTCCTGCTTCTTCCCCAAGGTTCCCTAGGTCAATATGTGGCCCTTAGGAGATCTGCAAAGTCCCACCCTCCATCACTGACTGACCCCACCCTTTTCACAGGTTACCAGCCCTCCAATGGCTATGGAGCTGAAGCAGAGCTGGGTGAGAAGAGTGTTTTCCCTCCCTCCCCTTCCTCCATCATGTTTCTCTGTATTCCACCTCCAGAAGAGGAGAGGGAAAGGCCAGGGTCATAGCTGATCCACAGTTTCCTCTCCCTTAGGCTTCCATGGTGGCTTCAAGCTACAGAAAGTTGGTGAGACCTTCTAAATGCCCATCCTGTACTCAGCAAGTCTATCTCAGGGCCAGACTCTCTATTCCTGTGTCTCTTGTCTCTCTCTCCCTGTCCCTGTCCCTCCTTCCCTGCCTTCCCTCTCTCTCAGACAGAATCTCACTGTGTAGACAAGGCTGGCCTGGAATTCATAGAGGTCTGCCTGCCTCTGTCCCTCTGCCTCTAGAGTGCTAGGATTACAGGCACGTGCCACCACTGTTCTATTTCTTAGTCACCCAACATCCACTCCTGTAATGGCATCTTACTTTGCCTGTGAACTTGTGGTGGTGGCCACAGCCCATGGGCATGGCTTTAAGTGTGCAGATGTGACCACTTATAAGGAAGAGGAGGGGCTGGCTTGAGCTCTTAGGTTGTGGTCTTATGGACTCATTTAAACCCCACCTTTACACTCTTCCACAATGGTGGCCAGTGCCAGTTGTGACCCTGCCTGAAGCGGAGGTACAGTGACAGTCAGAAGGAAATTGGAAAGATAGCAGCTTTAGAAGTTGCCCATGAGCCGGGCGTTGGTGGCACACGCCTTTAATCCCAGCACTCGGGAGGCTGGGGCAGGAGGATCTCTGTGAGTTCGAGGCCAGCCTGGTCTCCAGAGCGAGTGCCAGGATAGGCTCCAAAGCTACACAGAGAAACCCTATCTCGGAAAAAAAAAAAAAAGGCATATGCCACCACCATGCCAAGCCTTTTTTACTCTCTATTTTGGTTCTCAGCTTCCCCCAAGTAGCTGAAATTACATGGCTGCACCTCCAAGGCTGGGGTGGGGTTGGGGCTCTGCCTTTGCATTCTGAGTTAGTGTTTTCTGTAACTCCTGGCCAAGAGCTGGCTATCTGGCTGCCCTGCCCTGGCCCTCCCTGCTCCAATCTCTCTCATACAGGTTTCCATTATGGGAATGGAGCTCTGGAAGCTGGAATCTTCCCGGAGACCCTGAAGTCAGGTGCCTGGGGAGGGGCTGGGGGTGAAGGCTGGGACACGGGACAGGAAGCCAGACTTATCACTACCTCCACTAAACTTTCTCTTTCATCCTCCAGTGTTCCCCATAACCAATGGTTTTAGGAATGGTGAGTTGAACCCCGGGTTCCAGATACAGTGAGGGGCTGTAGCCAGGAGCTGGGTAGGAATAAATAACTGATCTTTTGCAGGACGCAGGGAGGAGACTCTTCTGTACCCTAAAGCAACAGTTCCAACCCTAGAGAGAAATGGTAAAATAATAATAATGATGATGATGATGATAATAATCCAGCAAGGAAGGTCAAAAGGGTTTCAAAGTCCAGAAGGACTAGGGCGTCCTGAATGCCCAGTTCTGGGGAATAGTGTACCCATACTAGTTCTCCTCCTGCAGGTCAGGCTGAGGCCCTGCAGGGCTCCCCCAGGCTGGCCCTCCAGCACTGGGGGGCTGGAATGAAGCCAGGATATGGATATGCAGGCCTTGGGAACCAGGCAGGTAAATGGGGTGTGTGAATGAGGGTGGGTGGGCAGTGTCAGGGTCCTGAATCCAGCCCTAACCCACAGCAGTGTGTAGGGAAGGAGGGAGCATACCCATGGCTGAAAAAAATGGCATGAGGGCACAGGAGGGACTGAAAAGGAAGACATACTGCTAAGGGAAGGCGCTGAGCCCAGCCCACATGCTGTACTGAGATTTGGAGGGAAAGGAGGAGGCACAGGGCTGTGTAGGTTAGCTACCATAACCCATTTCTCCCAGGGCCCTATGGTCAGCTGAGGCCAGAGCTGGGGCTGGAACATTTTGGTGAGTGAGCGTCATTACAAGCCTGGGGTAAAGGATCTGTGTGGCAGAAGTCCCCTGGTGTCCCACATGTCTTGTGGTCTGTGTTGCAGAGGAGCCTGAAGTGAAGGCAGTTGATGTCAAGAGCCAGCTGGCAAATGGCTCCAGAGGTAAGAGGAGTCGTGGTGACCACATGCTCCACTCAGGGGTCACCACTGTCATTCCTCCAGCTGTCCCCAGTCCTTGGCAGGAATAGTAGGCTCCATGGCCCTTAGACTGCTGAGTGATGATTTCGGAGACATCACCAGTGCCCTAACACTGTTCTGCCTCTCCCCAGGACACTGCCCTTCTGGGAAATGCTGAGCATGGAGCCTGTCCCCTGCCCACCCTTAGGGTCTCTGCATTAGAGCCTGGCTGGAGGAGCACAGCAGGGGGATCTCAAGACTTGCCCAGGGCACTGCCCTGCCTGTGGTATCCTCTGGGCTGAAGTATTAATAAAGCCATATGGTTCTTTAGTTGCTTCTGTGTGCCATGGAGAAGTGCTGACTTCAACGGGGGTGGCACCACAGTGCTTCATCTACTCATCCGTCTACTCACTTATCAAATGACAAAGTGGCTCTGCGCCAGACGCTCTATTCCAAATGGAAGACACGACAACAAAAAAATAGACTCAAAACTGTTCCCAAAGAGGGGTGTCACTTGGTCATAGTCGAGTAGGGAAATGTGTCCATTTAGGGTCTTTTGGCTGGGTATGCACCTCAGTGGTACATACCTGGCAAGCTCAAGACCATGGGTTTGACCTCCAACACTGGAAAAGAAAGACTGCCTTTAAATAGGGTCCTGGGGGTCTGGGATCTAGGGAGTTTTTATCATGCAAAGGAACATTTTTGAACTTGTTTTAATTTGTCATCATTCACTAAAGTTGTTAAGATGGGTGTGATAGCTCGACTTCAACCTTTCAAGAAGATCAAGAAGCTGAGGCAGGAGAATTCAGAGTTCAAGGTCAAGCACAGGCTACACAGTATGACCCTATCTTAAAAATAAAGGTGGGGTCTGGAGAGATGACTTAGTGGTTAAGAGCACTTGCCTTTCTAGAGGACAAGAGCTCAATTCCTAGCACTCACTGTAATCCCAGGGGATCTGTCTCCCTCTTCTGGCCTCTTCTGGCCTCTAAGGGCACTGCATGCACATAGCTTACAGACATACGGGGCTGGAGAGATGGCTCAGGGGTTAAGAGCACTGACTATTCTTCCAGAGGTTCTGAGTTCAATTCCCAGCAACCACATGGTGAGTCACAACCATCTGTAGTGTGATCTGGTGCCCTCTTCTGGCACACACTGTATACATGATAAATAAATCTTAAAAAAAAGGATACAGAATACATTCAAGCAAAACACCAATATTAATTAAAATTTAAAAATAAAAGTCTCCTGGTTTCTAGTTTAATTTACTATTATTCTGTATGTGTATGATTTGTGTGTGATGTTGTGTGGATGCATATCAGAGTGGGGGCCAGACGACAATTTTTTAAAACATTTATTTATTTACTCATATTTTATGTGCATTAGTGTTTTATCTGCATGTACAGATCTGTGAGAGTGTCAAAGTCCCTGGAATTGAAGTTACAGACAGTTGTCAGTGGCCATATAGGTGCTGGGAATTGAACCTTGGTCCTTTGGAGGAGCAGTCAGTGCTCTTAACCACTGAGCCAAATCTCCAGCCCCAAAGCTAAAGCTAAGTGTTCTTTTTTTGTTTGTTTGTTTGTTTGTTTTTCGAGACAGGGTTTCTCTG